AAGTGGGCGTGGCTACGCCCATTTTCCAAAAATTTATAACATTCTTATTTTTCGTCTAAAAATTATTGTAAATATCAATTTTGAGTTAATAATCTTCAGTAGTTACTAAAATATCGCAGTTTTCGTATTTCTGAAAATTACCGTTATATGGGAGGTAGGCGTGGTTATTGTCCGATTTTGCCCATTTTCAATACCATCCGTCCTACGCCCGAAAGAAGTACACGTACCAAGTTTCGTTAAGATATCTTAATTTTTACTCGAGCTATCGTGTGCACAGACGGACGGACAGACGGACAGACGGACGGACGGACAGACAGTCACCGCTTAATCGATTTCTCTTTTCATCCTGATCATTTATGTATACATTTGTCTATATCTATCTCGATTCGTTTTGCCTGTTACAAACAACCGTTATGTGAACAAAGTTATAATACCCTTGTGCACAAGTGCGCTCGGGTATAAAAAAATACGTGTGTTTATTTTTGATATTCTTCAGTTCTGGGAGTGGCAGCAGGAAAAATAGAAAAGTTGGTTTTCCTATGTATTTTCGTACCACCCTAATATTCATATTCACACATAATAACATACATATATGAATGTTTACATAACCTTCATTTTTAATGAGTACTTTTTCTTCATATTTATTATAGTTTACGGAAGCAGTGCAGATTTAAACGTAATGGTCGATGATGGTGAAACTTCTGTATACAATGGAGATGAGAACCACAAGGTCTGGAATGGTTCGCAAGATCAACTTGATTCTATTGCAATGGAAAGTCCGTATGAAATGTTTTCTGGTAACACATCTACTTTGGGTCGCCCTGCTAGAGCTCGTCAAATAAGTACACCCATCGATGTTCCTCCTCCACCAATGAGAGAGGAAGCAAGTAAAAGACGTAAAGATAAACAAGTGTTGAAAACAATAGGCAGTCAAAGTCTCTCCGGCACACTTATACGACCTAAGCCCATACATCCGGCTACATTACAACGCACGAGAATTTATGCAGGCGTCCAGGGAAATGCGATTTATGGCCCCGGCGTTGGGTCAGGAACATTACCATCGCCGCAAGGCTCCCGAAACTATCACACAATTAGTCATCGAGGATTTTATAGTGGTTCACACTTTCATCACGCTGGCATACCACCGCCACCACAAAGGATGCACCCACCACATATGGGTATTCCAATGCAAATGCCCGTGATTATGCCACAGCAATATGCCACTCTTCAATCTACGCGAACTGCAAAGAAAAATAAGAAAGATAAGACAGGTAGTGGTATACCCGTTGGATTGCCCATTGTGCCACCTATATACGCGTTTCATCAGGCCATGGGAGCACCTCCGCCACCACAAACAGCTATTGCGCAACCCCTAATTGGTGAACCACGACCCCTAGCAATGTCGAATCGCAAGATAACGGTATCCATGGGCAATGGACTGGACGAGGCTTTAAATTCCGGCCCAGAATCACCGGGTGGCACAGGAATCTACCGTCGGAAAGGTCATTTAAATGAAAGAGCTTTTAGTTACTCCATACGGCAGGAACACCGAAGCCGAAGTCATGGCTCATTAGCTAGTCTACAATTTAACCCACCTGATGTGAAGAAAGAACGAGAAATCGCTCAAATGATCGCCGGTTTGGACCTACATGATGGCCACGAAAAAGAAATGGAGCGAAAACACATGCTCTCAAACAATGGCGGGGGAGCTGGTATTCAGCCGCCGCAAACAATTTATGGAAATGGAGGGACCGCTGCCATATATGGAAATGACATGAGTTTAGGTGGCTTTGGCAAACCCCGAAGATAAATAAGTTTATTTGGAAGTAATGACACAATTTACATATGAACCTTACACATGTACTTGTATAATCAAGTCTACACATACATTCGTGTGTATACGTATTTACAGTATATAGCAGAAATTTTTATACCCTACCACTTTAGAGACATACACATTATGAAATTTATTACGAAATTTATTTAGATTTATATAGATATATTTCATACTAAAAATTGTATCTTGTTTGGACTCGTATATTAAAGGTTATAAAAAATATTAACTTTTACATTATTTAAGTTCACCTTGGCACTAATGTTTACCTACTTCAATTGGAACTGTTTACATACTGCACACCTAGATCTAAAGTGCGATCAACTAAAAAAAAAAACAATTTTTTGCACAGTTCAATCCATATGACTTACCTCCAATTAATTCAAATTTTTTTTTCATGACTATGTACAATAACTAAAAAACTTCTGTTTTTGCATTAATTGCGTTGAATCTGTAGGATCCACAAGCAGTTATATTGTCTAGGTATGCTATATGTAAACATTTATAGTTTGCTTGAATTTTTTGATCCGATAAGTACTTATGTATTGTCAATTTAGTTATCGTTATTCTTACCAAAAAAGAACCATTGGGATTAAATTAAACTACATGTTAGTACTTATGTAGTGTGAGAACAATAGTAACACATCAGTGCATGTCATAGTTTTTGATCAATTTTTGTCGTACAATTCCCAAAAAAGATTTTATATTATAGTAGCAGCAGATGAGCTGTTTTGATTTCCCTGCGAACCAAACTTCTCGAATTATAACGAAATCGTTAAGAGTATCCGAATTCTGTATCGCTTTTTTACGAATTTTCAAAGATAATCGTATGGAATGGTTGCCACGAATTCGTAAAGAAATCTTTGTACTATTTCTTATAGAAAATTAAAAAAAAAAAATCTTCACATCTCAGCACTATTGTCAATGCTTTACCCGTTTTCTTCCGAAATTTCGTAAAAGCATCGAAGTGTGCACAGTATATTTCATTTTAAAAATTGCTGCAAAAAGTCGGAAAGGGAAATAATGAGATCCTTACGACTTCTTTAAGATTTCTCTACTATTCAGAATACTCTGAAAACATACACCCGTTTGCACCCTGCAAATTATTTGGTCTCTACATTGCCAAATATTTATGCATGTATATATTTATTTCACAAACATTTTAAAATGATAAATAATTACATAGATGTTTGTATATATGTACATACAGGGTGTCCAAGAAGTACTACGGCAAACTTGACTACAACGTAGGTGGGAGTGAGTTCCCTGATAAGCAAACATTCTTCTTATAAAAGTGTCACCGTTTTTGGAATATTAATATTTTTTTGAATTCAAAAAAATCGGTCCTTTTCATGTATTTTTAACTGCATGTACAAACGAGGCTATATTTAGTAATTTTTTTCTGTAAAATACTTCCTGATAGTTGCTTCACTATATTCAAATACAATGTAGTTAAGAGATATAAAGGAACCATAATAAAACTAAGACTAATTTGATATTTTTAACTTTTTGATATTTTCTTCCCCAAATTTGACCATCTGTGAAAAGAATGTACTGAGCTACGTCTGCACATTACACTAAAAAAATTTCTCATTTAATAGAAATTTCAGTAAGGTGCCACAGTTGCTATTTGGAATAGAAAAAAAAATAATGTAAAAAAAAATATTTTTTAAAAACAAGCTTTTGTTTAACATGTACATTCAAAGGAATAAAATAAAGTAGTGTAACAAAAGATTTTTTAGCAAGAAAATTTCGTAAAAACTGCACTAAAATGAATAAAATAAAATAAGTTAAGCTTTCTTTAAAGTTACTAAAAACCAAATAGTGAAAGGACTTACTCAAACTCTAATGAAAATTACTAACAATTTGTACTGATTTACCATTTATATATCTGCATACATACATACATACCCCAGTAAAATAATTATATGTGCAATATTTCAACTTCAACTAATTTAATGTCTTTCCCAGTGATTGTATTCATTAACTCTATCAAAAGAATATAAAAAACTGTATAAATACGCATTAGTTTACAACAAGATAATTTAATTGTACCATTATGTTGAAATTTTCATAGAAAATATTTATATGTGCAAAGAAACAAGTTTTAGGTTATCGATTATTTAAAAAAAAAAGTTTTCAAGATAATTTTATTTGTTGGTTTTAGATTGTATTTCTATTGAACAATGTTATTTGTTTTACGCTTTACGGCATAGATTTTACCCAAATTTTCTGGTAAAATTTATATTATTTCCTCCTATTTCCGAAGTTTGATTTATTTAAGTTTCAACACGTTATCATTCTGTTTTGAATAAGTAAACATAAAGAAGTAGATCTTACAAATCTCCAGTGGTATTAAAGCCCATATTTGAAGTTAGATATTCTAAACGAAGGTATTTTATTCCTTCAATAACGAGTTTGTTGTTTTACCGCTGCAATTTTTAATTATCTTCGGTCGAAATGAGCAAAAAATTTGCAAACTTAATTCGCAAGGAATGTTTCTACTTCTGGATATTAATTTGTCTCAAAGTGAAAAGTTTTTATTTGTTTTCCAAAGCTATACGCTTTTTACTTGAAATGAGAGATTCTTTCCCAGGGCAAGTTTGCCATGGAAGCCGAATGACTCTCGAATATTGATGGTGGGCACCTGGATCAACTATATTGAAGTTTTGTTCATCACTGAAAATAGCGTTTTTCCATTCTTCCTAAAAAATTTGTAATTTTTATAAAATGCTAAAAACGCATTGCGTGCGATAGAGTGGGCTAAACCAGAGCGATTTATTTCTTCACCTTAAGTGCCAAAACTGTGTTTATTAATTATTGTGAACTTTTACTTGTGGCAGAGAGATTCAAAAACATTTAAAATTTTGTGGTAAGTCATGCTGTTCCTACTAGCTAACTTTTAGATATATCATTTGCACCACTCGTTTGGGTTTTGTGTAGGGCCACCAAGCTTATTATTTCCATAATCTTCGGGATTTTAAAGGAACTTCTTAAATTCTGCTGTTCGATTACTTCAGCAATTATTTAGCTGCCTTTCATGCCACAAAACGTCACTCCTGTTATATTTCCGGGCTCCTCTTCAGATAGTGCAATGCCACGGGATATTATGGGCCATAATATAACTAGGGAATACAATGTCATTGTTGTAGTTTTCTATTGAAAATTTTTTGACACGAGCAGGCGGGAGCTAAATAATTCATTTTGCACATATAATTATTTACTATTGAATATTAAATATTAGGGGTATTCTCGAAGTCTTGCACGATGCACGAATTGCACGAAATGCAAAAATACTATTCCAAATTTCGAAAAGTACGAGAGCACCCCATTGAAAAGTGGTAGCATGCATGGGTAGCAAGCAGCGAAATTATGTATCAAATACAATACCAAGAGACAGCAAAAAAAAATGAAGTGAGCTAGATGAGAGGAATGAGAGAAATATGTAGCAATTCCAACAACAAGTCAACTAGCGCAGGGTCGCATTTATCTTGCTATGCTATTTTGCAAAATATATACATGGGTTTCGACGAGGCATATTTTGCGGCGAACGGAAATGTTGTTTCCCATGTATTTTGTTGTGTTTGCAAGTTATGCAATCCATGCAATCCGTGCTACGTGCAATGGCTTTGCAAGATTTGGAGAATACCCCTATTGTTTGTGATAAGGGTAGTTAAAATTATAAGGGAACATCAACTTAACATACGAAACATATTGCAAAAATTGTATCCTTCTTTCGAAGAGCGAAAATAAGGAAAATCATATTGCACATATAATTTTTTTACTGGCACGGAGAGAAACGCTTGGGATAACGTGTCAATTGTTACTAAGATATTTTATGCGATATCCATTTGGGATAGACACGGTAACAAATCTTATTTCTACTCCATAAAATTTCAGACGATCCCTGAACAATATTGTTTTGTTCTAGCTTTATTGATATGAGAGACCGATTTATGGATGTGGTATCAATATTAAATGTTTTACTATGCCAATATCATATTAAGGAGCAATTTCAGTTAGCTACCCCGTCTCACTTTTTTGCTAATGTTAGAATATAAATAGAAATTTGTTCGTTTTTGTACTATTGCTATCTGCCTCTTGCAATAGCGATCCATATTCAGTGGCAGTGCTTTTCAAGCAGCAGCAATACCTATTGAAGCCACGCGACAGAGATTGTCGATATTACTGACCATCATTTTTTACCGATAGTATTGATGAACTATATCGATATATCGATATCGAATTTATTTATTTTACATACATAAAGAAACATACAAATAGTATGTCGGACTATATAATAAGAAAGGGGGTTAGAAGTTATTCATAAAATAACATTTCAATAAAATTATTCAATCCTTGAATAAAGAAATTCATTTTTTCAATAAAATACATATAAGTAACTCAAGCTTTAAAAATTGTGATGGTTTCGTAAAGGCCGGTCCACATAGAACTTTCGCGCTGGCTTTGGCGTTGGCGTTCGTTTGACAGGACGCACGTTAAAAGTATGCTTGCTACATACTAACGACAGATAAATTAATACTTCATATCAATAATTGAATGAAAAATTATATATCTGGATTAACAAAGAAAAATATTTCACATAGTTTTATTAATGTGCATCAGCTAATGAACTACGCTCGCGAAAAGATGAGAGTTGGCCACCTTTATGCTTTGTGTTGGCGTTAGCGTTGCCAAATTTTGGCTACGTAGACGGCTGCATTTGAATTCATTTATTCATAGTCAGCTGTTGAAGCGACGCCAACGCAAACGCAACGCCAAAGTTGTATGTGGACGGGCCTTAACTTTGTAGCCTTTCAAATCTTCAAGAACCAACCAAAAAAAAACTGACATGCTGGAAAACGTCAAATGAGTTATAATTTCATCATACTTCCATTTTAATATTTCCTTGGAATTTATGTGTGGATTATCAAAAAAATCAAATATTGTCGCACTGTGTTGATCATTAAGTTCCCTGTAGTCAAATGAACTAGTTGTAAACTACCCCACAACTAGTATGAATCGAATGCCCAACTAGTCAGCCAACTATCTTTTTTCCATGCAATCAACTGGTATTTTTAACATGGGGATGTCCTACGAAATTGTCAGATTTCGGTCAGAAATATACCAGTCTCATACAAGTTCAGAATAGACAGAAAAATACTAGTCTAATTACGGACCAAAACCACTACTTTGGGAGTCAAAAAATAAAATGAATTCATGAATATACAATAAAAAACATTTAAGTACACTTTTTTATTTTACATATTTTTATTTAGCAGCCTTAGATTTGCCAATAATTATTGTTAATTTTTTGAGTATTAATTAAAAGAAAAAATAAATACATAGATATTTCAATTTCCAATATCCAATACTCCTCATTTTCAGAATATCAACGAATTTACTAAACTCAGTAAATTCAACAGACGACTTCTCGGTAACAAATAAAGATTTTTTAAAGCTTTAAAATGAATTTTGAAGGGGAGGAGTAGTGCAGCTCAAATGTGCCCAAAAACCGTGATTTTTGTACTTTTAGGTTAGAATATCCCGAAAACCTGACGTGATCTGGGGTCAGATTTGAATTCAGAACGTCAAAGACCTTCGGAAAAGTATAGTTCGATTCTTGGTTAAAAAACCTTGTTGGCCTGTGTAATTCAAGCAGTTATTAAATATTCTTCATTTTTGTCCATAGTTTGCCTTATTGATTGATAATATAAATTAATCAAATAATCATATTAATCGTGTAATAAACAAAATAAAAAATAATTGAAAATGTTCAAAAATAACAAAATAACAGGTCTGGTATAATTGAATACGTACTCAATTAAACGGTTTACGATATACCCAAAAAAAGTTATATTATTTTGTGTACTTTATTGTATTAAACTGTCGAAGTCAAATAATACAGGGTGTGAATAAATCGTTTGTACTTGGTACAACTCTGGTCATTTTCGAACTAGTTCGGTTTCTGTTAGCCATTCCCGCCCAACCGACACGAGGGGCGCAGTCCGCATGACGTACGGAATCTTTTTTTTTTTTTTAGTTTTTTGGTGCCGAGTAGTGGAAACAGGAGTTTGTTAAGTGTCGAGATCTAAAACTATTCAGCTACAGAATCAAATTCATCAGCTGATTGGATATGCTAAAGATAGTATTTCAATTATTGAGAGTGGAAATGATAGTTTTCTTTATAGTAAAAATCGAGTCCGATATATCAAACGTGCTGGAACGAGAGTTAAAATCTTGACATAAACAACGGAATGATTCGTTTAGTTCAAAATTAGTTTTGCATGGCTTCAAAAATAGAGGTCGAAAGTGTCTTGACACTTGAGAGGGTACATTAAAATTGACCTCAGTCAGGAGGGCCGGGTTATTAATCAAGCCTGTCATTAATTTTACGATAAATATTATACCTAGCATTTCTCTACGACTTGCGAGTGTCGGCAAATTTATGAGCTTTAGACGATTTGTGTAAGGGGGGAGATTTTAATCTGAATCCCAGTCACGC